TACTCATTTGAATCTTTTCAAATTTATTATATTCATGTCTTTTAATTTTCAATGTACAAGTCTTTCACTTCCTTGGATAAACTTATCCTTAGGTAGTTTAATTTTGTAGCTGTCACAGTTTGGATATGAGGTGTCCCCCTAAACCTCATGTGTGAGAAAGTACAAGGATTTGCAGAGGTAAAATGATTTGCTTATGAGATCTTTAACCAAACCTATGGCTTACGCCACTGATACAGAGTAACTGGATGGTGACTGTAAGCAGAGCGTTTGTGGCTGGAGGAAGGACGTCACCGTGAGCATATCTTTGTGGTTTATATGTGTCGTTCCTGGTGAGCAAAGCTCTCTGCTTCCCTGTTGCCAAGTCCTGAGCTGCATTTCTCCACCACTCCCTTCTACCAAGATGTTCTCCCTCACTTGGGACCAGAGCTAAGGAGTCTGCTGCCCATAAACCAAACTCTGAAACCAGGAGCCAAAATAAACTTTCTCCCTCTATTTGTTCTTCTCAGGTCTTTTGGTCACAGCAGCATAAAAGCTGACCTAGACAATAGCTATTGTAGATGAAATTCTTTTCTTCATTTCATACTTTGGATAGTTTATTGTTAGTGTATAGAATTGCTGCCGACTTGTGTGTGTTGGTTGTTTTCCCTGTGATTTTACTAAATTCCTTTAACAATTTTTTGATAGATATTTTTAATGTGTGAGATCATGTCATGCATAGATAGGGACAACTTAACTTCTTCCTTTCTGATTTTGATGCTTTTTCCCCCGCTTCATGCCTAATAGCTGTGGCTAGGATTTCCAGTGCTGTGTTGAATGCAAGTGCTGAGAGTGGGCATCCTTGTCTTGGTCTGATCTTCTTAGAAGGAAACCTTTCAGTGTGACATTAGCTGTGACATTTGCCATGGACAACATTCACTGTGTGAAGAGACATTCTTTCTGCACAGAACTTGCCGAGTGTTTTCATCATAAGAGGTCGTTCAATGTCGTCAAAAGCCTTTTCGCACTTGTCCTAGGGCCTTGTCCTTCACTTTGGTCATGTGGTGCATCACACTTACTGATTCCCACCTGTGAAGCCATCCTCGAATCCCAGGGATGAATTCCCCTTCATCATAACAATGACCTTCTTAACATGCTGTTGAATTCAGATTCCTGGTATCTCGTTGAGAACATTTGTGTTATGTTCTTTTAGGACAATGGACTGTGGCTTTTTATATAGTATTCTTGTTCACATTTGGTTTGAGCATAAGACTGGCCTTGTAAAAATAAATTTGGAAAATATCCCTCCCTTTCATTTTTTCGGGGACAGTTTATGAAAGATTGCTATTAGTATTTCTTTAGTGTTTTGTATAATTCAGTGTTCAGCCATCAAATCCTGGGCATGTCTATCTTATTTGTCTTCTGTCTTTTTTAAAATTTAAATTTATTTTTCGCTGATATGTAAAAGCATAACAATTGTGTGTGTGTGTGTGTATAGTACCACGTAATGTTTTGATACATATATGCAGTGTATAATTAAGTTAGATTAAACATACCTACCTCCTCAAGCATTTATCAAACTGTGACTCTTGTGTGATGCAAACTTTTTGCTATTGAATCAACCTCTCACACATTATTGAAGTGTTCAAATTTTCTATCTCTTCATGATTCATTCTTGGTTGTTTGTGTGTATCTAGGAATTTATCCATTTCTTCTAGGTTATCAAATTCTTTGATGTACAACTAACTGTCCAAGCAGTATCTTATGAAACCCTAGCCAGACCAATTAGACAAAAGGAAGAAGTTAAAGGGAGACAAATAGGAAAAGAAGAGTTCAAACTATCCTTATTTGCTGACCAAAAAACTCCACAAGAAGACTTCTAGAACTCATAAGTGAATTCAGCAAAGTAGCAGGATATAAAATTAACATCCATAAATCAATTGCATCCCTATCATTGCATTCCAAGCACAAATCAGCCAAAAGAGAAATTAGGAAATCTATTCCCAATAGCCTCAAGAAAATGAAATAAAATAAAAGAGTTAGAAATCAATCTAACAAAAGAGGTAAAAGGCCTCTACAATGAGAACTACAGAACACTGAAGAAAGAACTTGAAGAAGGTGGAAGGATCTCCCATGTGCTTGGGTGGGCAGAATTAATATTGTCAAAAGGGCCATACTACCAAAAGTGTTACATAGATTTAATGCAATTCCTATGAAAAAACAGTCATGAAATTAATAGGGAAAAATAAGAGCCCCAGGATAGCCCAAGCAATCCTCAGTGAGAAAGCAGGAGGCCTCACAGCACCAGACCTTGAATCACCCTGCGGGGTTACAGTAGCAGACAGCATGGTACTGGCATTGACATGAAGACCAATTATCTTTTGACTGCTCTGGAATCAGTAATCTTTCTTTTCATTTTTTATTTTGAGTGTTCCTTTTTTATTTTTTACTTAATTTATTGTAGCTGAAGTTTTGTTAATTTTGTTTATCTCAAAAAAAAATAAACCCTTTCGTTTCGTTGATCATATCTACTATTTTTCTAGTCTCATTTCTTTCTGCTCTGACCCTGATGATTTCTTTCCTTGTAGTGACTTTGGGCTTACCTGTTTTTCCTTTTCCTAGTTCCTCATATGTAATGTTGGGTCGTTTAATTAATTACATTTTTAAAATGTAGCTGATTACTGCTAAAAGCTTACCTCTTAGAATGGCTGTTGCTGCATCCTGTGTTGGTACATCATGTGACTTTTTCTGTTTATCTCAAGATGTTTTTAAATCTCTCTTCTAACGTCTCCCTGGGCATACTGGCTGTTTAGAGCATGTTGTTCAATTTGCATGCCTGGTGAATTCTCCAGAACCCTTCCTGTTACTGATTAATGCTTCACACTGGTCTGCGGCCCATGAGAAGGAGGAGGCTCCATGTGCACGTGGAGGGAAGGTGTGCTCTGCAGCCAGGTGGGGGGCCTGGGGGGGGGCGTGTTCTGTCTGTTGGGTGTGTTGGGCCACAGGGTGGTCCAGTTCCGGGCTTCCTTCCTGCTTTTCTGTCCGGTTGGGCCTGTCCAAAACTGAGAGTGGACCCTGAAGCTGCCCACTGTTCTCATATTTTCCATTCACGTCTATCGATATGTGCTTTATGTATTTCGTTGCTATCATGTTGGGTGCATATAACCTTGAGGCATTACATTCCCTTGATGAATTGATCCCCCGTTATGTATTGGCCTTCTTTGTCAGCTTTTTCGCTGCTGTGACTAAAAGACTCGGAGGAGAAAAGTTTATTTGGGGACTCACAGTTTCAGAGGTCACAGGCCATGGACAGCAGGCTCCATTCCTCAGGGCTTCAGGTGAGGCAAGGCATCATGGCAGAAGAGTGTGGCAGAGGGAGGCAGGGGGGACTCTACTCACCAGGTACAAGGATGTGCCCTGAAGCCACGCCCCCACCTGCTCCCGCCTTCACTCACCACTCAGTTCACCCCGGCAGGGGATCCCCTCACTGGCTGGCCTAAGGCTGTCACAGCCCCGTCATTTCTCCTCTGCCCCTTCTTGTGTTGCCTCACACGCGAGCTTCTGTGGGTCACCTCACACCCAAACTGTGACAGGTCCTGTGTTCCTTTCTTCTTCTCCTGTTGCCTGCCTTGGTGATCAGGTGATGGTTTCCCAGTGGTAGGATTTGACCTTGCTGCTTTGTGTGTCTATTTTAGGGTTTAGCTTTCCAGTGACCCTGAGACCCGGTGCTGGCTGAGCCCACAGCTGGGTGCCCAGAGCCAGCCTGAAATCTAGCCATGGTAGGGGATGGGGGGAGCCCCAGGCCACTGAGGTCAGCCTGGTGGTGGAACAGGCCTGGAGACTGAGCCTGCCGCCTGGGGCTGGCCTAGAAGCTCAATCGGTGGGTCCCAGCCCAGAGCCTGGGGATGCAGGGCCTGCTCAGCACAGGTCTTGATGGGTGGGCACCCTGGTGTGGCAGCTCAAAGAAACCTTGGGTGCTTACTTCTGTCACCTTCCCAGCATTGTGCTGCTGGGACTAGGTAGAGGTGGCAAGAGGAGCCTGGACCTGTCCTCCCGTAGTCTTCCACGCATCGTCCATTACCTCTGTGTACCCCAACGGCTAAAGCCTTCCTCCTGCTTCCGTAACTCTCGTGAAGGTCCTTTTTAAAAATTTTTTCTTTAGTTGTAGATGGACACGATGGCTTTATTTTTATTTGTGCTTGTTGCTAGGATCAAAGCCAGTGCTCACCTGTGCCTGGGGAGTGCTCTGGCACTGAGCCACACCCAGCCACGATGGCCCATTGTGCCTGTGGACGGTGGTTCATGTGGACACTGGTGGGGGGACGCACTAGGGAGTGAGTCCCGGCCCTCGTCTGCCTTCCTGTTCAGGTCTCTCACTCTAAGGAGCTTTAAATATGGGTTCCTGGGCATTCAAGGGTGCAGTGTTGAGTTTTTGTTGATGGGAGAGTGACGTGTGTAACATGCACCTTTTAGCAACTCTTCAAGCATGTTTTGTCCATGTTCTTCAGTTGAGGGCAATGAATCTGTCAGGCCTGCTGGGGAGGCTGAGCGTGCACCCGTGGGGGTCTGGTGCGCTCTGCGAGGGCGTCAATGCTCCCACCAGGCACTCACTGTTTTCTGCAAATGGAGGCCCACGGCCTGCACACTGTGGCCATGGCCCTCAGCACTGTTTTCTTCTGAGGATTTAAGGAGACTCTGCTCAGCACTCTGGAACCAAGTGCTTTGAGAAACCTGCCCTGTGTAGGGTTTGGATCCCCATCCTTCGCGGCCGTGAGAGGCTTGCTGGTCTTCTATGGCAGGATGTGAAGGACAGGTACATCCTGCCACGAGAAGACCCAGTGTCAAAGGTCAGGGGTCACAAGACATGGGACCAGTGTCTCTGGGAGGAGGATTGAAGAGTGAGCTTTTGGATCAGTTATTCCCTTTTTATCCCCTTATTTTATAAAATTGGCCTTCAGTGTCTTGTATTCAAATAAAGTCTATGAGTCAGCTCCGCAGTGCTACAACAAAATGCCTGAGGCCACTAATTTAGAAAAGATTTATTGACTCACAGTCAGAGACATTCGGGTGCAATTTGGGCAGCCCCTGTGGCTGGGCCTCTGAGGAGGGCACTGCATGGTGATGATGGGAGTGTGTGTCAGGGCAGGTAGCCCCAGCTTGAGCAGGGAATGGAGAGACACTGTGAGGCCAGGGTCCTGTGCCCAGTGACCTGAAGACCTCCCCTGGGCCCCACCTCTCCAAGTCCACAGTACCTCCCGGATGATACGTGCTGGGGATGGGTGAAAAAGAAAGGAAGGGTTGGGGACCATGGCACAGAGAGGGCGATAAGGAACAGGGATGGTGATAAGGAACAGGGACTGTAAGAATTGCTCAAAATGTGGCTCATGGGGAAAGTGGCGAAGGAAGAAGATGCTGAACAGAGAACAGAAAGGAGACGGCTGGTGGGCTGGCGGGGAGAGCAAGGCGGAGCCTTGGGCAGGAGCATGATTGGCAGGTCAGAGAAGCACACACAGGCCGGTGGCCTGGGTTTAGTGAACCACCAGGATGGGGTTACGACAGTGTGGGAGAACGGGGAGCCTGTCCTCCCAGGGATCACAGTCCACGTGGCATCTTAGAGGGGCCCGGGGAGCGTTGCAGAGAGCCCAGCAGAGGCTGCAGGGACAGGATCCTGGAGGGGGGGCAGAGTTCACGCTCTAGAAACAGAAAGACCAGCGAGTCCTGGGCAGGAGTCCCAGCAGTGAGTGACGGTGACAGTGGACACAGTGGACAGGGCTGGAAGTGGCCACACTCTGTTCAAATTTTGCAAGAAGAATGAGCAGGATCCGTTGAGGACCTGCAGATGAGACAGGAGGAAAAAAGTTAATAGTAACGTCTTAATATTTTAGATCATTAACTATCAAAGAGAAAAATAGATGTTTAACAGAAAATATTTATTCTTGAAAAGAGAATTACATTTGAAGTATGTCTAGTCCAGTTAATTTTGACTTTAATGTTCTACTTTTGATGGGGTCATAAGACTCAGGGGTTTCAGTCGGCTAAACACCAGGGCAGGGACCCACAGGGTTTGGAGCGGTGGCCTTTGTGCTCTGCCCCTCATCCCCCCAGCCCACCACAGAGCAAAAGGAAGCTGACCCGGGTCACCTGCAGTTTGACGAGCATCCTCAAATGTGCCTTAATTAATTCTGGGGCTCTTTTTCCAGAGTTTGGCGATTGTAGAGAGAGTTAAAGGATCAGTTTGCTTTTATAAAAGTCAGCAAAAATCCCCCGTGACTAGAAATCCTTGTGTCAACTGAGAATGAGAAAGGGACCTGCCAGGATGGTGGCCCAGAGATGGGGATGTGAGCTCAGCCAAGGACACAGTTCACATCTGACCCTCCTCTTCTGGTGGCAGGAGCATGGCCTGGTGACCTGCTCTGTGATGTCATGGAGGCGTGTCCTGGGAGGGCAGGAGGAGGCGGGTCGCGATCTGAAACAGGCACAAGGTGGCCTAGCAGGAGCAGGGAGGAGGAGCGCTTCCAAGGACCCCTCATCTGAGCCCTCCTGCACGGGGCAGGGGATGGCATGTGACCAATGGGACAAGGGGGGAAAGTAGCAGTTTACAATCCATGCAGTGAAATTATACTCTGAACTTACAAAGTAAGTAAAAGGCCAACAATGTCAGAACTGTAATAATACATCTGATTTATTTTTAAATGAGCTCTATGTATCATGTACAGCACTGCTCTTAGCAAATCTCATACCTACAAAGTCTCTTTTTATATCCTGGATTAAAAACATGTATCTTTCATCCAGAAAAAAAAAATTCTACTGGTTGTGGAATTTCTTTCTGCTTAGAGGCTAATCTATTCTAGTCTTCAACTGATTAGATGAGACCCATTGCAGAGAAGAAAGCAATGTGCTCTACTTAAAGTTGACCCACTTAAATATTAACTTCATACACTGATACCCTTGCAGGAACAATCAGAACAATGCTTGATTAAATATCGGTGTACTCTGTGGCTTGCCTAAGCTGATACAGACCATCACACGATTTTCTCTTCTGTGCACATTCCATGGTATTACTGTGCTGTGGTTGTTTGAAGCATAGATCTGTAAAACAGCACCCATGAACTTGACTCTCCATGTGTAGACTGTATTGCACAGTGTGGTAGAGGCGCAGGTATCAGTCTTTGTTCAGAGCTGGTGAATCTCTGTACATCCTCTGGAATCTGCAGATTCTTCTCTACTCATCTTTGTCATGTTTCACTGGGGGAGTAGCTAGAATTTAGATTGTGTTTGGTAAAGATGATTCTAGAAATGAAACCACGGGCAGATAAACCACCTCATTGCTCTTCGGATGAGAGAGTTGGAGCACACAATGGGATGCAGGCTTGCTTGTCTCTGTGCCCAGGGAGGAGGGTTCCAGCTGAGATCCTGGGGGCCTCTCTTCATATTGGCATCTTTGGCAAGATTTTTTTTTTAATTTCCATTTGTTTTTAACTGATGCATACAGAAAGGGTCTATATTTATGGGGTACTCTGTGATATTTTGACACATACACATTGAGTATTGTTCAATCAGGTTAAACGTGTCTATCTCCTCAAACTGGCATTGAAATTTTTTTCTTCTAGCTTTTTGAAATATACAGTACTTTGCTATTAGCTATACTCACCCTGCTGTGCCACGTCCTGCCCCTGTCTAGCTGTAACTCAGCACCCATTAATCCACCTTCCCCACCCCGTCTTCTCCCATCCTCTTGCAAACACCAATCTGCTCTCAACTCCTGAGTCCAACTGTTTTTTCTATTCCACATCTGTGTCAATTCAAGTGGTATTTGCCTTTCTGCACCTACTTAACTTCACTTAACATAATGGCCTCCGGTTCCATTCCACATTGTTGCAAATGGCTGGACTTCATTACTTTTTACGGCTGAATACTATTCTGTCGTGTGCTGGACACATTTCCTTTTTCCACTCATTCCTTGGTGGACATTGGGTCGACTCTCCATGCTGGCTTTTGTGAATAGTGCCTTCCACAGAGTGACTTCCTTCCTTTTGGATATACACCCAGTAGTGCGGTTGCTGGATCACACCGTAGCTCTGTTTTTAATTTTTCAGGAGCCCTCGCTACTGTGAGGGTTTCCATAGCAGCTGTGTTAGCTTACACTCCTCTGGCCGCGTGCAAGCCCCCCTCTCTGCAGACCCTCACCAGCACCCGCCATCCACCATCTTTGGATGAAAGTCTCTCTTACTGGAGTGAGGCGACCTCTCATGGTGCTTTGAGCTGCATTTCCCTGATGACTCAGTCACTTGATTTCTACCACTGTCCCCTGGGCAAGGCCTTCTCTTCCTGTGCTGTGGAAGCTGCGGTGTGCTCACAGTCAGCACAGCTTCCTACCCTGCAGACCCCGCACAGACTGCAAGGCTGAGTGGTTTCTTGGACTCTCGGCGGGGCTTTGCTCTAGCTCTAGAGCTGTTCCGTTCCGTGTGTGTGTGTGTGTGTGTGTGTGTGTGTGTGTTTGTGTGTGTGTACAGGCCAGTGGCCACACCTAGGTGTAGAGGACAGCGAGCACACTGTCCTCTTGGGAGTGGATGACAACAGGTTCCTGGAGGGCTGGAGCGTGAGGAGGAAGCTCTTGGGAGCCTTGGGAGTGCCATCCTCCCTGCTCCTGCTGGCCCCTCCCTGGGTCACTGACCTTTGCTCCACCTCCTGCCCAGCCCAGAGGCTCTCGTCCCCTGCAGCCAGGCTGGGTGTGCTCAGACTCAGAACTGCTCACTCTTCCCTGCATTGAGCATGCCCGAGTGGCCCCTGGTACTCTCAGGACACCCACACTGCTGGCATGGCTTCCAAGTCTCTGAAGATGTCATCAGGATTAACATCACCATCAGACGGGGCTTGGGATGAGCTGGCACCTGGGGTCATGGGGATGCGCTGGCACCTGGGGACATCTGCGCTGGACATCCAGGGCTCCTCCAGCCTGGCCCTCGGCAACATCCCAGCCTGTTTAGATAGGTCAGCATTGAGCTGCCCCAGTAGAAAGCCTTACCACCTGGGGGATCTGTGCGATCATGCAAACACATGCATGCACAAGAGGCAGGGAGGCAGAGGGAGGGAGGGAGAGGGAGGGGGAGGTGGGGAAGAGGGGGAGGTGGGGAGAGGGAGGGAGGGGAAGAGAGGAGAAGCGGAAGGGGTGCTCCTTCACTCTGAGATCCTTTGCCGTCCTGTGGGGAGGCAGGTCACATCCAGGGGCTGCAGAAGAGCCCTTGGAAGGGGAGATCTGAAGGAGAGAGCCTTTGCCCTCGTCCCCTCTGAGCACAGGTTTCTCCACAGCCTGAGCCTCGGGTTGCAGCGGCTGTCCAGGGCGCTGTGGCCTGGTGTGCAGTGTATCCGGAGTACAAAGCAAGGAAGAGCAGGGTCCATATGGGCAAGTACTGCTGCCCCGAGCCTGGGACAGGTGACCAGGAAGGAGCAGAAGTACTCACACAGGAGCCCAGAGAAGCCAGCAGCAGCTGTAGATGTCGCCAGGTGCCAGCTCATCCCCATGACCCCGGTGCCAGCTCATCCAAAGACCCGTCTGATGGTAGATGTTAATCCTGATGACTGCTGGCTTGTGCCGTTCGGGGTACCCAGGACACGGGGAGGGACACATGGTGTGTCTTCCTGAAATGTCACCCCCATCCATGGCTATTCAAAGCCTCGGTCCCTTCCATAGAATGGGTCGGATGTGGGAGCTGCACCCTCCAAGGCAGAGACACCAAGTCTAAATAGCACCTGGCGCAGCCCCGGGTCCTCCCCTGCCACCGGGCAGCCCCCAGGGCTCTTCACCTGCTCCCCTCCCCTCTTTCCTTCCCTTCATGTTTACCGTGATTAAATGATCAATCACTCTGTGCCAGGAGAGGATTTACAGTGGTCCCACAGAATGGGGCCTGGAGGCCTTAGGGCCATTGAGAGGAGAGTCACCAGCCACAGGAGGTCCTGGGGCATAAAGTGAAGCACAGAAGACGTTGCGGTGACTGTGATGTGTCCAGTCAGGACAGAGGTCACTGCTGTGATGGCTGCACCCGAGGCCTCACTGACCACGGGCCTGATGGCCATCCGTCCATTCCAGGTGGCCTGTCAGCCCCCTGAGGCTGACCTCTAGAGCTGGTAGGATCTTATCTCTGTTTTGACTACTGACCGCCTCCCAGGGTTTGTGCCGCTGTTATAGACATCAGGATGCAAGAGTTAAAGACTCCACGTCCAAACAGGTAGAAAAAGTGCAAGGGATTTCAACGAGGCTCCCGCTGAGCAGTAGTGAATAATAGTGGCAATGAATTGATGGGTCAGCAGTGGAGGGACAGGCCTTAGGTGTGCATCTAGGTGTGAGAGGTGAGTGTGCGCACGAGTGTGTGTCAATGTAACAGGTGATGTACAATGAATGTGTTTATGTGTCCTATAGTTGCATTTAATTATGTATGTTTGAAACATTTAAATCACATAGATCAATATCCATGATCAATGTTATGTTGTATATCACTATTTCAACAAAACAGCTCATTTAGATGTATTTCATTTATTATAGGTAGATTGAAAACAAGTGACACTTAGCTTTCCGTACGCCTCCTTCAGTGCCTGGTGGAAGGAATAAGGAAAACTGGAAATAGATTGTGACTGATTCTGTTTCAGAGAGTGGATACAAGGGGCATAGTGGGGATCTCTGTGTCACAGGGCACCCTGAGGATTGCCATGAAGGAAACGTGGGACAGATAGGTACAGAGGGAGAGGGCTGAGAGGAGGATGCTCATTCCTCCACATGACGAGGAACTGGACTTGGGAAGTCTTCTTAAGCTTCAAGGTCAGCTAAAGGACTTGAAGATGGGGGAGAGGTGGGAGAGGTGAAAGGAGACCCCATCAAGAGAGCAGAAGGCCGGTCGGGCTGCTGGCAGCCTCTGGAGCAGGGAGAGAAAACCTGCGGATGACATCTTCCGTTGGGTCTGAGGGTCTCCATTTTGTGCCGCGTGTCAGTTTTTCTCCTGTGCCCCCCATGCAGCCAGGTAGCCCCCACGGCCCCAGGCCAGCAGTGCCTCAGGCTCAGTGTCACCCTCACTGGAGCAGGGCACACGGCGGCAGGAGATCACAGCCAGGAGGAAGCCAGAGCGGAAGTCTCCCAGGACTGTCAATAAAGGGTTGCTTGGTTTTTTCTTTTGTTTTTTGGAGGTAAGATCACGACTCTCAAGCAAATGAAAAATGAACATTAGTTGACTATCGTATTCAACTCATTAATTAGTGAGAGAATTGCCGAGACGTGGCAACTGGTTCAAGAATCTGCAGAGATCCCTGTTTTCCATGGGACCAAACCAGTTAGCGGCACCATGGACAGAGATCCTTTGAGCGGCTCTGGAGTGCTCTAGTGGC